CAAATCTACGCAATTATCTGACGAACTGTAGCACGGGGAGAGAACTCTGAAGAATCCATTGCTCTCTTTAATGGCATATTCCGTCGAGGACGTCGGTGACACATAACGGGATGTTGCAGCATCTCAAATGGACCAAGCCATTATGGCCCAACAGGAATGACGTCTAATGAGCTTGACGCAGAAGACCCGGCACCCCACCGTCAACGACGGAGCACTTTTACGCATCGCCTAATATTTCTGCTGGGGCGTCACCAGATTACAACTACACACATGCTAAAACATCTGACCCTCCCATATCCCTGCTACACAGTACTTTGCGAGCAGAAAACCATTCACCTACAATCCCCCAAACGTCATTCTAACCGCGGATTGGGGTCTATGAACAACCCGTAGCACTGGTCTCGACTTGTCTTCCTACGCCTCCACTCTTGAATTGCCAGGCCAAGGGGCCTGCTGGCTCTTGTTCAACAATCACGTACGGCTCGGCCTACACCGATGCCTATTCCAACCATCGGAATCACTCGTCCACCGCTCCTCACACGTCGCTTTCACTCAGCTCATAGTTCACTTGTTCCTCCAACTATCCCAATTGTATACGCCCAGTATTCAAGTATGCGCACCGATGCCACGACAGCCACATCAGCGGCTGCACTCCCGCGCCAGTCATCCACCTCATGTGACGTACAGCAAGAAGACAGTCTACTGGACTTAACGACCAAAACTGTACTCTCCCATTACTGTGACATACGCATACGCTTTTATTTTGTAACTTTAGGTCGACACCTAGCATGCTGCCGCAGCATATTAACGGGATTTTTGGCCGGTGTTGTCCCGTTAAATGGATGGAGCTTAAACGCTCAGTCTACGGTAAAGCGCACAAAGGCAAGCGTGGTTTATCCCAGCACCGCTGTCAAACCTATTCAGATGCTTACAAGGCAGAGAACCTAGCGCGTCTACACAACCACTAGTGCAATTAGTTCGTGCTAGAGGATGAGACACTTCTGGTCTTTGCCACGGATATGGCAAACTCCGCTCCCAATATTGCACAGCTTCACACCCGATTTCTCTTCCGGTGAAATCACTACATTAAGAAAAGATTGCATGATCTCAATTGTAACATCAGGGCAGCAAGTAAACGTCTTTATAACTGCTCAGCCATTTCAGTTAAGCAGGCCCATCAACATCCCTCCTTCTCACTCAGTCGCGAAGTTTCTCATACTACCCACTGGCTGAAAGGGCTCACCCACTACTCCATTCGAACCCCACATTTCTGATTTCACGCCTCTCATTACAGGGTTCTCACCTGAGTGACCGGCATGGCGACTCTGTACTCACGCTGAATGTCAGCACTCTCGAGAGACGCTACTTTGACATAGGCTGACAACAGCCCACCGCTCCAAGACCCAGTCCATCGATATCCTCAACCTCACTAAACAGAATCACCCCATATGTTGATTTGGATGAATCATACACTGACAACGATGCGAAGCCAGCTGCAAATATCTGGTACCTAGATACAGAGTCCACAAAGGACAATGCTGCTTTACTACGTTTTCTGGCGGAAGCGAGAGGTTCACTAGTCCAATGCACACATCTCGAACAGTTGCTGAAGACTTGCAAATACGGCACTCTAGGACAGCAATTATTAACGCCACGAAAACAATGTGCTCAACCCCATTCCTTCACATATGGCTGTTTAGTAAGCGCAAACAACAGACGTCCACAGTCATTAACCGTCGTCAGCGACGACGACTTCAGTACAATCACATTTAATGACTCTAATATCTGTGACGGAAAGACGCCAACAATCGATGGTCCATGGAACACTACATCCATGCAGGATAAAGAGATGAACACAGGGATCAACAACTTCTGGAAATAGGTAACCTCGTAAGTGCCCAGTACCTGACAAACAGATCCTACATGAATATGTTAATGTTAACTGTGATCTCGTAAAACCGATCAGGATTGGAGCAATGATGCTTCGCTGTGAGTAATGGACGGGTCCACTACCGGGATAAATCGAGTCACATCGACGGACATCATTTGAATGCATCCGAGAGGCACCGTTATTTGTAAATCGGTTATTTGTGTGTTCCACTTATCACAGTGATATTAACGTGGTCCATATAACGTTTCTACCAATACTGCTCCATTCTCCCGGCCATGAAAACTTTTGCCAAATTTTCTTAACTTCAGTCTGCACACATATTCCTCATCGAGTTTTATTCCTCCGCTGGATTCATGCATTCCCATCTGACTGTCTTCAATTTGATTTGCTTGGTACAAATGACTGCTTTGAATCCTCTTCATTATTACACGCAACCCTTAAGTATTCACATCTGAACCGTCTCCCTTTATCCATTGATTCCCTTGATTGATTGCTTTTCCTATACTTCGCTACTTCGCGCGGCTTCCTCTTTCGGTGCCCCGTCTTATCTTCCACATTGCCTAACGTCTTATTTCGCCTCTGGATTCTCAATACCTGACAGCTTGCGAATTTTTCTAGAGCGATACAATTCCTCCCTTGCTCTATATCATGACCATTGAGGTAGCATTGCACACACCGACTGGCACACGGTGGATCTGCTCAGCAGGGCCAATCTATTATCCCGCTTAACCAGACAATGTCCTACATTTTACTCTCGACAGCGAATCGAACTCCTAGGTCGCTTTAGGGCTGTCAATAAACAAGATGCAATGGATAGTAGTGGGTATCATCGTTGATAGCAAAAGAAAATTTCTCCCTATTATGAACACTGCGCAGCTCTCTTATGGCGCCCTCCAGATCCCCTCAACTCAGCCATCGGAGGCATCCCGGCTACTTGCACCGCCATTTGATTGGAGGGAGAAACGTCCGCCCAACTCGCTTGACTATCTCAAAGCACAGTTCAGGAAATCTCGCAAGCCCCCTCAAGCCCCACCAAGGCAAGAACTTCTTGCGCACCTGTCTTATCACATCACACACACACTGCCACACATTAATGGTGGCCCATCGGCGGACCCTCAAATCGATGGATAGTCTGGTCCGGGAAACTACATGAAAATGGCCGCGGTTCCCCAAGGACACCTGGGTCACTTTAGTTTACGCCTAAATTGTGGAGTATAGCATGGGGGTTCCGCACATTTCCAATATGATTCCATTGCATTGGAAGGACCGCAAATAATATCAAGCACAAGCTCAGATCCGCTCTGACATGCACCTACGCGACCACTCGGCTTGATTCGCACCCAACAGATAGCAGATTGTTCCAGACAACCCTCAGAGCAGCTCACTAAACAGTTCGACCTACTCGCGTCACCATTTATCAGTTCAAATGTGATTGCCGTGTCACTTATGTAGACAGGACTAATTGTCGACTGTCTCAAATGCTAGCTAAACGCTTCCCAACCTGGTTACAATAACAGATGCGACAATAAGTTGGAGCGGATCAAGCAGTGTACAGGAACGTAGACTCATCTATCGTTGAACACCTTTTGCTCACTCATCATACCGTGAGCCTGATCAAATCCTTCAAGGTGTTGCTGAACAAAAGGAATTCTAAAATGTTAATCATCAATAGCGCATTACTGATAAGGATGAATCGTCCATCTCTGTGTGCCCAAACAAAACTGAGACAAGCAATTTGATTGCCGTGGTCCTGATTCTTTTATACATGTCAGTTTTCTTTATGCATATCTATATTACTGGGCTACCACCCTATATAACTTATTGTTTTTTTACTTGTACTGCTTTGCGGCTGAAGAGTGCAATCGAAATATTGACATCGTGCAACCGCTGTCCTGTCACTTCGTTAGTGAAATGGATCACGGGGACCCAGCGTTTCAAGTAATTGGACTACTGAATTCCTGCTTTAATTCAATAAGTTTGCTTCTTCCCACACAGGGGACCAAGCACTTTTCGTCAGTAACCGAAAGATCCTGTGTGTTCCACTCAAATATGAGCAAGAATTATGTAAGGCAAAGAGATGAAGAAACGGAAAAAGCCGTATATGTTTATTGACTGTAGCCGGTTCTTTTCCAATTTATACATTCTTCTTGTCGTAGTATGCCCTTAAGCGCACGGAAACGTAATTATGAAGAAATGTCGAATTGAAGTCCAGCTTAGTAAAACCAGTGAAACTGTCAAGAGGCAGTTACTCCTCTATGGTAATGGAGATCGCAAACCGAGTATTTACATGCGTCTTTGGGCCGGTATTTAGCGAGAAGGCGCTAATCAATCATCAACGTTTGTGTCGAATTTATCCTTTGAATCAATGGAATCTAATGCCAACAGCCCAAAGATTGTCACTGTAATGGATTCAAAGTTACCCCAGGATCCTTTGGAAGAGAATGTAACCTGGCGCAATTAATGCATGAGCTATACCATTACGGGTCTTTCCCAGCCGCGGATGAGACTAGGAGTGTTATTTATGGGAACTTTTAGAACACTAAGAACAAACTGTCTGCTGTACTGTGAGCATACGATCCAGTATGTCAAGGAAGTGTTTGCGCTTATTAGTCGTCACGTAACACATTCGTTTTAGTTCAGTAATAGCTGAATTAGCTTAACACTTGTGGCCAGTTGTTTTGGTAGTATTGTCAATAAACAATGTAACAAGTTTTCATCATGAAGTCCACCATCCAGCCATTGACAACGTGCAGAACTAGGACATTTTCATTCTACACGCCAACTCTGTCAAGAAACTTATATAAGGGAACTACAATTTTAGCCATACTAGCAATAATCGGTTGTCGTCTATTAACTTGCTGGCATAGAGTGGGCCATCTGTTTACCGCGGTATAGCTCGCATTACGGAAGATTGATAGTTCGACTTTTAAGATCAATACATGCCTGAGGCGATCGCGTTATTGATTGTATCAGTCTACAAGAAACATGGCCGAAAATGTTTTCACTTCTCGGAAAGTCACAGTGAAAATTCTTTTTCCTTTTACCCGCATCCTGGCTTTGTTACAACCAATCAGTCGATAACGGACATAGTGTTCAAATAGTATATACTTAAAGAAAACCATCCGCATCCCAAGCTACACGTCGCTTTGTACGACATGAAACAAAACAACCACCATGACCTGTGTTTTACACTTTTGCTGATTCTCTGTGGCAAAGGACTTTCCATACTACCGGATGACAGCAGATTGCTCCTTCAGATGCACAATCAATACCGGGAGTTAGTTGCTCACGGGGAGCTACACACGCAACCTGGTGCGCAATTTATGACTGTATTGGTGAGTTCCCTGGGCAACATTACTGGGTAAATTAAAAGGCCTAGAGTAGCGTTAAACTAAATGAAGTCAAGTAACAAGGGAGGAGTAGAGATAATGAGGTGAATTATAGTAGTCAGTATCTATAACTGAATCCCATCCGGGTAGATCCACTTGGACGTTGCATATATATATATATATATATATATATATATATATATATATATATATATATATATATATAGGTGAGACACGCCACTTCTCGGGTGAGGTTTACTTCCCGGTAGGCATCGAACTTGCATAACCTTTGTTCCGAATAATCGTCTTGCTGTGCTCTTGTAGTTCAACGAATCATTGTTGTGTTCGTAATACCTAAATATCATTGAGCACACATTCCAAGTTTAGTAAAATAAGAGGCAGATATAGTGTACTAATATTTAGGATATAAGGCCTACTAACCCGGCGTTTGGTGTGACTGTGGTGTCTTTTCATAAGACATTTACTCTAACGCTGAAAATGGCAGGTTAACTTGACGATGAGTAGTACTTTCGCAATCAGTAGTGGAAACTACTGTTCCTGTTATCTGAGTAACCAAATGTAACTTCATCCGACCCAGCCGCAGTGATTTATCATACATATGTGGCCGACGAAACCTAATAAGACAAAATCCGAGAGGTTATCGCATTACAGCTTGCCATCATTTGTCGTGGTAACAGTTTGGAATAGTATTAACGTGCTGCCTTTTAAAATTAAGGTGCATATATACCGTTTTTTAATTGATGGGTTCTTCACGGTTGAATGTTGCCAACCTCCAATGAACATGTTGTGTTCCCTTTTTTGAAGACATGGGATGATGATTTGGCAAGAAATGCACAATTCCTTGCGTCTCAGTGCGTCGTCGGTCACGATAAAGCCCAAGATCGTCGAACAGCAGAGTTTCCGTTGGTCGGACAAAACTGGGCTGGAGTGGGCAATTACACGGAGTGAGGTTTGCGACGGTTTTTATGTGCATTACTTTGATGTGGATGTGTATTGCTAACATGTCGTGCCAAATGCCAATCCAAATGCGGTAAAACGATAAAGTACCCGTCGTTGTATTCAGACATCTGACTGAGATTCGTACTTTGACGTATTCTCTTTACAACCAGTAGATTACAAGTTTGTAACTAGAAAGTATAGTCGGTGCGGCTCAGTTTAGTAGAAACCTTACTAGTCTGGACATTAAAACTTCTGTACCAATCACTCAAACGCTGATAGTTAGCAGTGTAAGGTTGGTAACAGACCTTTTGTGTACACCATTTTACCCCTTCCTTTGGCCAGGCTGACAAACACGAACTTCGCTTCATCGTAGCTTGCATAGATCCTTTCTTCTGTTACAATTTAAGTTCACTAATGAGTAGTGAGGATGTTGGTGTAGTTTACACCAAAATTTCCACTACTCAGTAGTAAGCACATATCCGTCCTTATAGTTTCTAAATACCGTGTGATGCATAGTCGTTATACTGAAAGATGCAACTCATGAGGCCAACCACTGCCATTTGCCTAGTTCGTGAATGGCGTGGCAGTGGACGATAATCCATGCTATATCATGGTCAACTGTCAGTCAAGCCGGTCGGCGGTCGTCACAAGCGGCTTAGTGTCACATGCTGCTGGCACCCGAAAGTCATCGGGTCGGCAGGGGGCCGTGGAACGCGCACCACTGTCGAGTCCCAGAAGGTCGGAACAGCTGTCTGGTGCTTTCCAGACGTGCGAGAACCTGTATGACCTAGAGGAAAATGCGACGAAGTACATCAAAAACTTCAGTTTAACTTATGTTTCAACTTTTGTTACTACACTATGATTGGCAATTATCGTGTTCTCTGTTAGGGGACTATTTTTTTATACTAGCCTTGGCGACCTAAAAGTGAACTTTAATAGACGTTAGTGGGTACCAATGATAGCTCATAGATCGCGTCAGTTGTTCACAGTCCGAAACAACGGTTCTCTAGAGACAATGGGTTGGTTGTTTATGCTTTTTAGCGTCTGTCAACGAAGTCATCGCTAGAGCGAGGGACCACATACAAGCGATCCCTATGATATTTCGCGGACAGATTTTCAGCAATGGATGAAGAAATGGTCAGGTAAAATCTCCAACCGGAACAACCCATATAGGTGGCTTCATTCTTAACATAATTTATGCACTAACCGAGTCTCATTGCTGCGCCATGCATCTAAGAGCGCTTATCTTGGGCGCATGTCATATCTAACTAGTCCAAATCGGTGTCCTGCAAAGCCTACTGAGCTAGAATATCTGCAACTTGGACATAACGCGTGTGGGGTAGCGCGAGGTACTGTAACACCAAAATCACCAGTCTAGGATTTTACATAGCCTCTTTCGCTTGTTTGAGGTAAATTAGTGGATACCAACACCTTCTGGGATAGGCAATGAGGAAACGCCCATCAAGATCATCATCAAACGTACAGGTGGTTGCGAGTTTCCCCATTCTCGCTTGCTGCTTCACTTTGAAGCACCAATCGTTCACAATTCCAGTTTGGTTCATATTCTCATTTAGTTAACCTGCACTTTCGTAGGGTGGGGGATGGGGGAAACAAACCATCCGAGATATTACTCTGCGGTGCATCAGTGTTTGATTTGTGCCTGTCTCGCACGGTTGCGTAGTTAATTGCTTTCTGCAACCTGCAAGTTTTCGTCACTTATTTGCAAGGTCATTTGTGAATTATATAACCAGCGGCCCCTAAACATCTAAGGGAACAATTTTTCATCAAGTTCAGCACTATTATTTATCTTAGAGGACTGATAGCGTGAAGATAGTTAAGGCCAAGTAATTACTTCAGCTTAGAAATGGCTACGAACCAGTAGCAACCCAGTTAGCTACGGTACGATTAGTGCTAATAAAGTAATTCACATTGTCGCCTTAATAACGGGTGCAGATCTCACAAGAGAAAATATTTGCCAAATTCACATATACGTCTACGTTTTACGTAACATAAACACCCCGGCGACCTAGGACATGCGGAACAGTTTACGCTTGGGTACTGATGATCCTTGCATTAGCGCAGCTACGGTCAAGACTTCCATGTGCATTCCCTCTAGTCCCATTCATTCGTGCAGTGGGTGATGGAGCATGTCGCCAACAGTCCTATGCTGTTGTGAATTTTAAGCGTGACTTCTACTTTCTGCAAACTGTACACTACTCACAAACATCCACAATTATTCTAATCTACCATCGCCCTTTGGACATCTGAAGGACAGATACTGTGAGCTCATTGGAAATAAGTCACGCACCAAGAAGAAGTCATGTATTAAAATTTGCGCACTAGTCGTCAGCCCTCGGATGCTCAGTGGTAGAGCGGTGGGCCGGAAATTTGTTTGCCCGGGGTTCGATTCTCCGTCGAGGCACATTATTGTGTGTGAATTTTAATCGTGACTTCTACTTTCTACGAGCTGGCACATTTGTCTTGTGGTAACGTGTGACCAAGTTGGCAGACAAGTTCAAAGCCCGTTGCCTCTAAGTAACCAGAAGAATGGGATTACGTTAATAAACTGAATTGCTTAAACATTGATTTAAGAATGTTAAAAAGGTGTAAAGCAGAGAAGATCTACATTGTGGGAGTCAATGCTGGGTTCAGGTGAAAGCTGGTAAAATTCTGCCAATTGGGATGTTTCCTCAAAAAACCCGGCAGTCATTTGTCGTTTTGTGCTATTTACTGATAGAAAGTAACCATAGTAAACAAGGTGTGTGAGGTCGTGTGCCATTAAGGCATGTTTTGGATACTGTAAGGCGGAAATGAACACCACGAATACGGGTATGTGTATTACGTGAAGCTTTATGAAAACACGACAGTGGACCTTGGCCACATTAAGTCCACTTTAATAGGAGAGCAATTTCAGCTCTCGGTCCCTTCATTTCTTGCTGTACCTCACGTGCATTTGACAAACTGTTTGGGCACTGTGAGGACAGCTAGTAGACGTGGACGACGTTATCCTTATACTTATTGTCTAACAGTCTGGGTTAGTATGTGATTGGGAATAAACCCTCGAAATACTTGTTCACATGCGGCTTCGGAACCTCAGACGAGGTGAGGCCACACCACTGTCATTTATAGCAGATGAATGCAGTATTACCAAATTAGTTCTCAAGCGCGTAGCAGGCCTCCAGGGAGAACTTGCAGGGTCCAACAAGTATGAAACTCAACAACTCCTTGCCATTTTTGTACATGAGAAACTGATTGCACGGCTTACCAATAAAGGTACCAAGTACAAGTACAAACATTCGATGAGCATCTACTAGTTATAGTTTAGATAATTTCAGCAATACAAAAATCAGTGCTTTTTGTGTTTTCCTTGAGCTTGCTCTTGCGAATTTATCAGTTCAGTATTTAGAAGCTACATCAACTACAGGTAACACACTTCCAACATTTGAGATTCTTCTGGTGGATGCATAAAATACTTATTCAACAAATTAGCCGGATCAAGGTTTCGATGTACCGCTTAATCTTGGGACCTCATCACTCTCAGAGAAACACGGTGCAACTGTGAGACGCCGAGATTTCAATAGAAAGTCTGCCTAATTACCGGCAGCTTCGAACTAAGGAAGTTATTGGGGTAGCTATCTATTCTTGCAGCCATCGCTATTTCGAGCACGTTCCGGATTCGGTAACTAGATTTTTAGATTTCATTTGGCGTTGCCTGCGACTGAACAGAAGATGACGTCTGCCTCCTGGTTGTTGTTTATCACCCACCATACTCTATGCCTGGGAGGGACTGCAACTTGGCAGCTGTGCTGTAACCGGAGATAAACATGAAGTACGGCCACATTATAGTCGTCGACGATCTTAATTTGAATGTCTGGAAATCTTAGCCGCCACAGGAGAACAATGTAATACGGAGGTGAATAAGCTTGTCTCTAATTTCCGCCATATGCTCAAGTCGTTTCGTTCACCACATCAAGGGAAGCAAAGAAGTAAACTATACTGGACTGGATATTCAAGAAAGGTCTCATGTTTAAAATGGTGCATATCAGCACTCTTCATGGACACCTGCTATGTATAACGCTCCAGGGAGATAACTCAAACGGTGCGCATCAGAACGCGTTACCACAATATAGGCTGACTGAAACGACTTGCTCGAATTCCTTAGCCGAGGATCAAATAAATACTGCCTTGAAAAGTTTTATCAGCAAGTTTAACACCCTAGTTGCTAATGCGTCAAAAATCTAGGTTGTCCATTCTAGCAACCTGGCCACGTTTGTACGGGACAGGACACAAACACATGGCGGCTTGAAACGCAGCACGGTATGCTTACGAAACCTCTCCGAGTCAGAAAACCTGGAAGAGTTAGGTTGTTTACCTAAACCCCAGTATTCGGCTTGTGCGCGAGGACAGAGACACCAGCAAGCGTCAACAGGACGCATTTAGTTCAAATCATGGGATATTATGGTTGGCGGCATCCGGTTTCGAATTTGCCTGTCACTGTGGCCAGCCACAGGACGCCTGCACCTACAGAGGGACCATAGATGGCTTGCGCTGCACCAACCACAGCTCCAACCACACACCCCATATCTCATGTAAACCCGAAGGAATAAGACCGGAAGGCATGCGGATGGGAACCACGTTTCATCAACGGAGCCAACCCACGCTCCTTCACAGACAACCACAAGAACGCTGTATTTCGGGAATCAAGTGCACACAAGGCGGTGGCTGGACCGTAGTCCGCTCCACACTGAGTGCATGGAACCGCTCTTTGAGCCTAGGACGGCTAGCACTTGTAGTTGCAAACGATATCGTCAGGGTTTTTGGTAGTCAATCCATAATTGCCTCCAAGTAAGCGTAACTAAATGTTGGGAGCTCTCTGTGACACAAAGTGCTTCAAGACTATAAGTGGTGCAATCACCAACACCACCAATGTCTTGAGAGTATTTCCTGTGCTCTAGTTCAGGATGACCATGTTCACACGAAGCAGTCCAAAGCAGCATAATAGGAGGTCATCCAAAATGTGAGGCTTTTACGAAGAGCTCTCGTTTTCTTTGATCCATGCGTTTTGTGTCACCTGCTTTCGACATACTTGTTCTCATGTAGATTATGTAGTTCAAGCATAGAAAATCTGGAAAAAGTAGAATCGTACTGTTTTGGAGATTCTCAAAGTAAGACCACTAAAATCGTCCGTATCAGCTATACCAAGTACCATAAAAATATGAGTGGTTACTACAGTTTTGGAGAGGACGTTTTGGCTTTTCATACTGAATTAATCAGGGATTACCAGATTTTAATCAACCATTATAAACGGTGTCATCATCTGGCATAGCTCAGACGTCAGTCATTAGATTCACTGTGTTCAAAGATCGTGTCGATAATGTGCTGCCCACATCTTAGCACTATAAAATATACATAACCAATACACTCATTTAGACAACCAAATTACGTCAATCCAAACCAGGAAAAGGAAAGGCGGTAAAAATCTAAATAACGTAAATCCACGCTTGTAGGTGCAGGCGGACAAAATGTTGATAAGCCATTTCACTGTTAATCTTTCTTCACTGTTTCTTGTTTTACATTCCTTTTTAACCTTCAACTAAGTATCCGGGGAGACATAGTAAGCTCCAGATGTTCATCTGTATAACGCCACTAAGCGTTATCCATAATCCTTCTAATGATACTATTTCTAAGCATGTTGGCATAGTATACCTACTTTGTGTACTCGCAAATCTTCCTCGTTTCGATAGCTTATTTTCTTTGATTGTCAACTGTTCATCTGGTCCCATAAATTGGCGTGAACGCCGAATCAGGCAGTCGAACGGTAAGGGCATGTTTTCCTTGTTCACCTGTTGATGCAGAGTTTCTGACCGAATTTCGTTACTGTGCCTGGGTATCGGTTACCTGCAGCAATGCCGACTTTGAGATTAATGTAGCGTAATCACCGCTTATTTGGTCTGACTGCCAATAAAGTTGCGATGAACACATTATCGTCAACAAATTCATATAATTTGTCTTTGAGTGATAAAGGTGTCGTTCGGTTGATCAAGGTGTTTACATTTACCCAACATTTGCCATTATCCTTGCTAATAATGTGAGCACCTTGAAGATTAGAAGACAACATTGAAGTTTATATCACTTTGTCTGTTGAGTTACTCTCATCAAAGACTAAATGGTCGAAAACGAGTATTTTAGACTCACACGTTAATTAGCTTATTTTCTATTACTGTAGAATTACGCCTAACTGGAGATTAAAGCAAAAATTGAAAACGATGTTAAACTCTTTCCTTCTTGGCAGTGGTATATGATATCTATTAAGTTGACATAGCGCTACGTATCCAACAGTTTTGACAGCCTTCGTGAATTGCTATCAGTCGACTTCGTGGTCTTAATTCATCCGCAAATCCATATCTGACGCTGGAACGATGAAAGAGCGGTTATTTGATCTCAATAGAAACCGGGGTAACAAGTTCTGCAAGCAAAAACTTTTCAAGCTTCCACATTTTGCTTCATTAGAGCCGATGGAAACCGACAGTGTGAGCAAACTCTTTTAAATTTCAGTCTGATTGAAGAGCGCGTAAATCAGTGTTCAAATATAAACCACCGGTAGAAGTGTGTCATTTGTCAAGGTAAATTTGGTGAAGAAATAATGTGGTGGAGCATTTTTCGATCCACGTAATTCATCCAAGGGAGCATGTTTAAACATGATTGTCGTTCGCGTGTTTGCATGATCAACACGCAAACCTTTGGCTACACACAATGCATATCTGTGTAAGATATACTATGGCGTGCTCGTCACAACTTTATGCTTCTTCACATTTCCAGTAACTCAGTATTTTACTCAAACTGTGTGCTCGTTGTGAGTGTTTTTAATTAACATGCAACCGAACACAATTAAATGAATTAAAATCAAAGCACATTGTACTGTGTGTATGTTAAATGACGAAAGCACGAATACTTCCAATCAACCAATATTTCTCTTTCAGAGCAGTTCGCAGATGGTTTGATGAGAATGTGTTTTACAATTATTGGACAAACAAATGCGAGCCAAAGAAAGTGTGTGGTCATTATACTCAGGTGAGTCAGTCCTTTGTCCCTGATGGATTCCTTCAAACCACTGGTTCTCAATCTGGGGGTAATTACCCCAAAGGGGTACGATAAACAAAACACAATGCTTTTATACGGGTTAAGGAGCACTGCTTTACAAGGCCCGTTGAGCGGTCTGGTGTGTTATTGAAAAGGTAAGGATAAATTTGCGGTTAGAAGTTCTACTGTCCAAAGAATAGAATCGTCATATTTAATGCAACAGCTCACACTCTGAGTGTTTCCATAGATTCAAAGGAAAATGGGATTTTATGGGATGAATATAATTACGAGCATTGGGTCTTTAGTCTGTCGCTTAAAATAACAACAAAATCATCTGTATTAAATCATATAATTAACACCATGATCACAATTAAGTAGCCATCAGTGACTAATCGTTAGTGAGTAGTCTGTGAATTAGACAATCTTCTATAATAAATGTTAGTGCTTAAACTAAAAATACCAACCTGTAAAACAGCCCAGCTAGATAGTACCTATTTTGGCTCGCTAATCGATCGCTGCTTTTTGGGTCAGATAGTCGTTTGCAGCGTCGAATTACAAAGTTGGGTGAACACTAAGGTGGGACGAGGTAAATGTTTACAAGATAGAATGGAGAAAACGGGCTATTGATGTTCAGGACGTATCGATACAGCATGATGATGGGAAGCTGTCACCAAGGATGAACTTGGAAGGGATAGTGAACCAAATGAAATGCCACTCACAACTGTTCATCTTTGTTCAGGGATCACACGCCAAAACAAGAAACCTAATCAGCTTGGAGCATGATGTGCATTATCCGAAAGCGCACCAAATATACCAGATGTTACTAAGTACCAAGCAATATCAGCCACTTCATTTACCTACATCGCGTCCTTATTATTTAAAAACTTTGATCACAAATATATATTTTCTTTAGTTGAATGATGGACGGTAAAAACATGTACTAGGCAATTAGTTATTTAAAATAAACCTTTTGTGGGGTACTTGTTTATAATGAACCCAATTTGTAGGTAACGGCCTCAGAAAGGTTGAGTACCACTGTTCCAAACCAAACACTTGGACGCTATGCTTAGTCAACGAACGTAATATGTTAAATAAATAGAATACAGCTCAAGTAGATTGAGCAAAGCTGAACTAGAGCAAAAGCACGGTAAAAGTCCAGAAATCTGTGAAGTGACATTTTTCATTATCGAGGCAGATCATCAACATGTAAAAAGTTTGGACCCACGAACATACACACTGTACTCAATAGCTTACGTTACTGGACCTTGGGACACGTATTAAAAGTATAAATCCACAAATCCCTTGGTTGGGATTTTGGTAAGACACCGTGTGATTTCGTTTTGTAGCCCCTGGCTAACAATTCATAAAATGAAATGCAAATGAGACAAAGCATCATCAACATGTTGTTTAAATATCGCCAGATTGGGAGTAGTGACGATATAATTTGGGAGGACGTACCAAGGTTGGCGCACGCGGAGGGAAAAGAAATTTCTACGGCATTCAAGCCAGCTATATTGTTTCTATAGTTTCAGGGGATGACTTCTTAGATTAGTATTGCGGTTCAATTCCACAGGTGGTTTGAGTTCTTTAGAATCCCTCAGGAGTTTGGAAATAGCCAAACGTGTAATTACTCCGATCGAACTGGGAACTTCATTGGTCAAATGTGAGACACGTGTGGTATTGGAACAGCAGTTGATGTTCTGGACTCTAGGTGTCGTGTTGCTTACAGTATTACTAGCAGTTGTTCGCGGGATAGAAGTTGCACTTACGGGGGAGGAATGAGTTGCACAGACCGTTTTGCTTACCCCAACCGTAATGATTTTGGGGGGGGGGGGTCAATATTTCCTCAAGTTTGGCCAGTGGCTGGTCGTACTTCTGAGATAATAAGAGCACGCTTTTTATCAGTGCGTCGATGTGCATTCCACGCAGAACCATAGAGGGTCTGTTTTGTTTAGTAACTTTGCTTGACTAGGTTTAACTCGGAGACGTCTCGCATGAAAAGTTGCAACAATTACGGCACAAACTGCCTCCCTTAAAAAGTTTGGTACATGATCCACATAGGTCTTTAGACTGTGGCACACTAGGCATCGTGCCTGTTGAGCAAATATTACGAACCATTTGATTGACTCACCCTCTATGGTACAAAGTTGTTCTGTTACTGACGTTGTCAACAAGGTCACAGTGTTCACGTTGCACTTGTGTGCCCCAGATTGGCCTCTCTGGCGTGCGTATCGAAAGTGTCAGCCTGAGCTTGGGGAAGATTACACGAAAGTGTGATGGGCAATTTTCGGGTTTAAGTCTATGGATCGCACCGGGTGAATTTACCCTGAGACCTGTAGCTGCTCTAAGCAGTGTTTTATATTTAAACGTGTGAGAGTTTGATCGAAAGCCGTTGAAATGGTCCATCGAGTGAGATCCAAAAATGTCTCCGATGGTTGGCATTAGACAAGTTTTGGCGCTTGGATTTCGGCGAAACACTACGCGGAATTTAGAATTCAGTTAAACGTCGAGTGCATTGGAGTGTACTCGAAAAAGTATTTTCACAAGTTGCTTTTTAAAAGCAGACGATTGCGTATAGATCCAAAGGTGTGCGACAAAATGCCCCTGAGCCCCAGTGAAAAGCCACGAGTGCACAAGTGAGCGACTTGAACACAGGTACGCTCAAGATCACAAGTCAAACAACAAAGTAATCAGAAACTAAATGTTGCCAAACTTACATGACTCCCTCATATTTCATAGTCTGTTTGGTGTAAAAGTGCTGAAAATGCACCCATACCGGTGGACAATGCATACTTTGGTTTGACTTGACTATTTCTCACAGTTTAAGCTGTTTTTATAAACTTTTTCTTTGTTAACTGACGACCATATTTGCTCGCATGTAGATAATAGTAGAAAGCAACGTGCTGTTTTGAGATTAATTTTACTGTGGCAGTGTGGACACTTCGAATTGTAAGCCATATCCGCCCCGATGTAGTTTTTGTACGACTGTTAATTGAACTGTCTCAGCAAACAGCTAGCTCAGCTTTTCTGGGAAGCTATTGACAAATCACAGACGGCACTCATGATTTGCCAGCCTAAATAGGGATACGAAATGTAGGTTAAGCAGTGGCTATCTCTTTACGATAGACTGATTCTAACCTGAAGTTTGAGGAGAAACACTGCGTAAACTAAAGATGGATGGAAAAGGATCTGGCTAACAGCGCAACCGGAATTTGTCAAGTGTTTGGAATTCGGTGAAAGTGAATAAAATTGAAAACGCTTATATCTACCGATAATCATAATTGTTAATCAATGGAATAGTAGCCGAGACCTCTACCTCTACGTTAACGTGTCGCCCGTCGTGAAGCGGTAGCCAATGGGGTAGAGTGTTCGGCTAGTATTTCAATGGTTGTGAGTTCGACGCTTGCTACCTCCACATTATGAGATAAAGTGATATCGAAACGCGTCGTGGTTGTGCAGTGTTTTCGGGCGGGCAACAGCTAATTTCCATATGCTTCGGCTACGGTCCCAGTGATCCTAGTGATCAGATTTCCCTTAATGTGAATCGCGGTTCACTTTGAGATTGCGCGTCGCAAACTAATCATACAAGGTGTAGTCCAAAATGGTTCTAAATTGCTAATGCTCTAATGATGGAATACGTCCAGAACACTGCTGCGTGGCCCATGGTTATTCACCCCCTATTCTTGATACGACAAGATGTTCATTTTTTCGGTGCGTATATCATGAATTTGCTCACATAGCGTTTCGCCAAGAAAGATGAGATCAAGAATCGTTATTTTCTTTCGAAATGATTTCCGATACTCATGCAGTTAAACATGTTTTATGTTTAGGGTATGTTTTCGCGACCATCCTCACTTTTAGAAGCATGGATAAGTTTGCGCAATCCACATGCAAGTACCTTTTAAGTAGACGAGACGCACTAAAATCAGCTTTGTACTTTCGTCTGTCCCACGTATGTCGCATGGGAATATAGTTTGACGACACGGAATTTTGTACAGACGCACACAAAAACAAATATTTCATATTTGTAACTCTTAACTGACTCTGTTGGATTGATTTTACCGAACAGAGAGCAATGAAAGCCGTTGTAGGCCTACCCCTAAAAAGCTCCAACATACCGCAAAGTATCTATGACACAAATGTGACTTCTGGAGTTACGTGAAACCAATAATGATCTTCTGGGAGATAAATGTATTCCCATGAAAATGATTGGCATCAAACGGAAAAAAATAAAGTAGGGATTATATCTCTGAGAGTTCAACTTGCCATCAAACGGCTACCAAAATGATGTGATAGATATTCGGTCAGAGAGCGTTCACCGCTAAACGCACTCACTATGTGATATTAGGGCGCTTCGGTTGCTGTAGGAAAACGCGTGGGTGTTCTGAGGATTAGTCGAAATATTACACTGACAAAAGTTATTCAAAAGACAACCGAAGTTCTCATGAAGACTTCGGCTTATTTTTAAAGACTTCCTGACTATATAGAGAAAGAATTCTAGTTAAATCATGACAAGAACTCTGAGCGTTACTCTATTAAGAGACGCAAGACGCCATGGTTACTGATTTTATAACCTTTAAGCACTCTAACAGAGTGGGGCCAGTATGTCTTCATCATAACTTTGATTGGCAGGTCGCTACATTGTAATTAAGCGCCTAATCACGTTGGCTGTCGACATGTGTTATAACTAGGATGCCCTTGTTTCTATCAACGCAAGTTTGACTGGGTTTCATCACAGCACTGTTATAAGGAAGGCAGACTACAATCCAATCCCAATAGGATGAAAAAACAATCTATAATTTTTCGACTCTGTGAATTTCTAACGGGATCTATTATAGTTGAGCATAAGGAATATATAACCCCTCTGTTGAAATCGGTGAAGGTGACCTTGGTAACCCCAACACTTTGAATATGAACACTGTTTTCGTCTCAGCATGAACATCTAACCTCCTGTCTTCACTTTTGCTCAGATTGTGTGGGCGAAGACTCGGAAATTGGGTTGTGGCATTGAAAGATGCCCAAAGTCTAAAATGCCGTTCAAGTACTCAGTCGTCTGTAACTATGGACCTGCGTAAGTGTGTTTTTCGTACCCGTACATGATATACCAATACAACACAGCACATTTCTATCGAAAACCAAGACTAAACGTATTTGTTGTGGGATGAAAATTTTGGACCTCATTAGCACTGAGGATAAGAAACCAGTGTTTACATGCCAGTTAATGTATGACGAAGGAAAAAATATGCACGTCATATAATCCGTATAATTGCGTGTTTTCTAAATGTTAGTGTTCAGTCGACTTTAGGCATTGGACTTTCTGTCATCTGCTCATACAACTATTCTATGTAAGCAGTAGTATCAAAATAATATTCCGTCTATTAATAGCTGTTTAGCACTGGTTTGCGTGTTGAACTGATTTGACTCATACGATCATCTAGTGTTACACTACTGTCTGCTCTTCAGCCATCCATAATCCGGCTGTAACTGCTCAAAAGTCGAAGTGATATCATTTTCTTAGCATTGCAGTTTAAGACTTAAATGATCAAACTAACAACCGCCGAGTACTTCTCATCCAAGTGATTGCCAAACCGACAATACATAATACTTTTTAATCCATCACCACTTAAGTTGTACGGTTACTACTTCAAGAATATATGCGTATATTCCTTCCGATTTTACTGTCGCAAAATGTGGTAGTCAACGTGAATAGCTTAAGCAATTGGGTTGGCGCAATCTATTATAAGAATGTGGTACCAAATACTCTGAACCGAAAATTAGACCAAATAAATACGCTTACCGAAACTACAACCCAGAGGTACTCAACAATAACGTGTGTTGAAGAACCATTAAAATTTCTTTATCCTACAAGGCAGCTTACTTTAGTATATTCCCGAAAGTTTTAGCTAGTGCCACTTTGCAGAGAGCTGCGGATGCGCATACTATTTTGTCATCGGTCGGCATACACTGAAGTCTTTTTTGAACTCAGGACAATATTGACAATAGCGACGTTTAGAACTTTAAGCAACTCAGGAAATATAGAAGTCTCAGAGAAGAAATTGAATTTAGTTGAGACCACTCTTACTGGTCTATAGTTCATATTCACCAAGCCATACATAATTAAGAAGCGTGTAAGAAGCACAATTTGTAAACCGAAGCCATTTCAGGTGTTACAACAATACATGGAGATTCCTCAATTAAGTTAGAAATTTCCCTGATCAGAACTTAGTTATGACCATCAGTTCATCGGGGAAAATACCAAATTAGTTCTCCCAACGTTGCCCTTGGGATATATATCCGGTAGGAAAGACTGATGCACGAAAATCAACGCCAATCAAAGCCCTTTATTTCAGAAGGTCTTTACAACGCGGACACTACATAATACATACCTCACTCATAAATGATTCCGGTCCCCTGTACGAATGATCTATACCTTTTTCAGATACGTTCTCTCGCACCTTCGTGAACTATAATTATTATCGTAACTAACTGGTTAGTTGAATATTGTTTCTTTCCAACGTTTGCAGACTAGGAACTATTGTGTCAAACGAGACCTCGATGGCGGTTTCCGATATCATGCGGCGCTAATTGCAGTTTTAGGGAGGAAATAAAAGGTTTGGTATCCTATACTGGCCTGTTGATCATATCATATTGCGTCCATAAGGAGGGCAAATGCACACCACAAAAACATGCGTAGCTGTTCGTAGTTTCCTCTGTTCATTTCTTCACCGTAAGAACCGGTGCATTTGTTTCAATAGCTTGCGACTTAAGAATACTTAAGTTACCCTTAAAACTGCAGAAAAAAAAATTATAGTGCGCCTTCCGGTTTATCTAAAATTAACCAAGTATGCATCCTTTTCTTTAGGGGGAATTTTGTTGGTCAACGCCCATACGACACTTGGGACTATTCGGATGAAGTGGAAGATTTTGCTTTCCCATTGATTACTTAGGACAAACACGGATGAATCACAATGAATAAAGTTTGTTTACCTGACATATTTTAGAAATAAAGATATGTTTCTAGTGGCCTTGTCCGTGTTTTTATTTCGTGCTAACTCAGACTTATTAAAGTAGTCTGTACAGTAGAGTGGACGCTACTATCATACTCAATATGGAGTGTTCATTTCTCATTTGGCCTTCACTCGTTTACTTTTTACCAAATCGGTCTGAAACGACAACAACTAACTTATTTGCTTTCAGCTGCTCTTAACAAGAGGATATTAACACGACAAAACCAAAAGTTGGTAACCATTTGCGCAGAGCATCTTCAGCTAAGCAAAACTGGTCATTTTGCGTAACATAAATATCTTCTAGTAGTGACCTCATTTAGGCACTAGTGTTGCTGCTTTTCAAGATGCACAGTCTTTTATCTTCATCACAAGTTTCTTCATCACAGTTTTTGATGACAGCGTTTCATTCCATCCAGTTACCAGAACATGCGCGCAGAGGTGAGGTTGATTTAGTTTCACTCACCCGTTACACCATTAATAACAATTAGTTAATGGAAAAAGGAGCGTAAAAATAAAGTAATGTATTTATCATGATTTAAAAATGGTAGAATTTCGTCAAAATATGAAAAGTTGAAAGCTGCTAATAATTATAAGAAACAAAGAGAATTGCGATAGTACCAATGGTTTGGTTGATTCCAGCTCTTCATTCCAGGAAAATTGCAACAACTGACATTGTTTAAGGCTACAGTAACTTTGTTCACAACGATACTGACCATCTGTTCTATGACTTCAATGAACCGGTAGTTATATCCATAATTAAAAGCCATCTTTGGCGCATTGGGCAAATGTCCAACGAGCTGCAAAATCTGGACAGTTTCTGTGCACAATCCAGGTCCCGGACGTCAGAAGACAGTTGTTCACCGGTTGTGAGTTAGTGACCGCAACTGGGGGGGGGGGTTAAAATGGTTGTTCTATTAATATCTACAAAACAATAATAATTTCGTAGTGCTTTACATTAATAGCCGCCAAGCAACAGCACTACATTTTCTCTTCTCGTCGTAATTGATTGAACGCTGGAAGCAGCAACGATTCTTACAATGGGGACATAAACCTATTCTGCAATCGAGCATTAAGGATAGCTGAACACCATAGAAATATAAACCGGCCTATCTGCTCAAGTGAAACCTATTACATTTTAGAACACAGTGACTGCGTTCTGCGACTTTGCATGGTGATCAAAGCTGGCAGCCAAAAGGGAAGCAAACATGTTTTTATGCAATTGGTCACTCGTTAAGCACCTCTGTGGCATCTTGCACTCAGTAGATTTAGCAAAAGATTAGACCAGTGCGAACATGGTCCGTGATTAAATCGCACAGGACGATACATTTGTGGCCTGTGGTGTAAGGCGTATGTCTTTTACCAAGGCAACTGATTACACATACTGAGGTGCTACTGTATTGGGAATAAAGTAGCTGGTAAAGGCGATGATTTACCGAATTTGCTGCTACACGGATCTTGGACCTTATACACGATGAACAGGTATTACTGACTTTCTGCTTCTTGTGCTCTGGTGCCCGGTTTACTGTAGTGGTTTTACCACCAATAGATCTCGGTCATATCCAAGTTTAAACTTACTAAGTATAATTTAGCTATGAATCAAACCATTTGTTTTATGATCTTGGGACGATTGTATTCACTTGGATGACGCCTTTTGAGTACGCCAGTCGGACACTGGTAGAAGCCTATATACTAAAGTTGGGTGAGCCACGGGGAATAGTGTTCCCGTTTACCGGTTCAATGAAAAGAAATTTGAAGTGTGTGAGACCAGAATACTCCTCTTCACAAACTTATTCTTTCTGATCCTAAGTACTTGACTTGTGGTTTCCACGGGCGTAATACAAAATATACTTTTTGTCAAAGCATGATAAGGAACTCGTATTGAAAATGCTTCAAGAAAAACACCACAAAATATTTCTCGGTACTTACATCAATGACACTGTGCTTCTTTTAATCGACGATGTCCCAGCTACCTCTGCAAATGTTTCCATATGGAACAAGAATTCAAACTATTTACTGGTGGCCTTATATTATTCCATCAATAAGAAATATATATGCTAGTTATTAACGCAATTCGTCCGTATATATCAAGGATATGAAAAAAACTGCTTTTCAATTTGCTCATCGTAGAGGAAAAGCTTATCCATCTGTTGAAATCTACCCAACATGGGAAATAGTGGTAATTGAGTAAATGCTCAATTAAAATGATTTACTATGTGTTGGTGTATGGTAAAGGAAAACCATTGTACAGATTGCAGACGGCAAATTTGTGGTCACTGCTAAAATGCTCATCAAACGACATACAGTGTTGTCTGGTTGGAGTGAGATTTTTGCAAAATCTATTGACTTCCTACCTTGTGAAGGTTAAATGTGCTTGAGATATTGAATAATAACACCGCTAATGCGTTTAAATTATTTGAAAATACATTTGCCAATAACTTCACAACGGTGCACTTTGGGTTAATATGCCCGTCACCATCAACGAAATGTTATTTCAACCTGACCGAAGGAGTAAGTGCAATGTAAAACAACATATTGAATGAGAAGCACCCCAGTTCACTCCTACTTCGATAACTTTTTACAAATCCGGAATAAAAATGCCATAAACTGCATAGCATTTAAAACAAAGATGACAAACAGAGGAAATTTGAACAGGCTTAATCCAACGGTAACTAAACTATAGCTAACGTTTATTATAAGGAAGCTTACAAAACAAGCTTACGAAAACAAAAGAGCTGGAAGACTGTGCCGCAAGCAAAAATTTTTACAATGGAAATACCAGTGAGTCGATAACAGCATATTAAAGGGAAGCTACAAACTATACTGAACCTGTAACCTGATGAACCGATCAATAGATTCAGTTGTCTGTAATGCAGAGTAAGATTGACTTCAGAGGCCTGTGCTTGCCAAATATTGACAAACCCGTTTTCTGTTGCTTCACAAAAGAGCAAATATATTTATATACGAAGCATACTTTCGAGGTGCCTGCAATTATTCAGGGCAAATGGAAGTGCTCAGACTAAAAAAGAACCCTGTTGCATGCCAAAGGTTCTCGCACTGGGAGAAGGGAAGTCTTATCTTCATTTTCTTCCGAGTAGGTAGCTGAGGACCACCTGAGAAAACGAAGTGTAAACGGATAAAGGGAGATCTTTGGTGCATTTATGAAACAATCAACCTAACGGCTGAATAGTAGACATGCAAAACACTTGACACTTTATCGTTTCCCCACTAGTTACCAGGTTTCCATTAACTCAGGAAATTCTGCCTTCCCCCTTCACCATCCTCTACGATGATTTCACTCTATTCAAAGTATAGGAAGCTACAAATTAGGCTTGATGGATACAGCTTCCGTAACCTAAATATCGACGTGGTGTTAGCAGCATACTTTAGTCAAACGGTAGTCCTCCGTCACTGGGATATTTTAGGGTTATGCATTCTGCAGATTATTTAGGTTGGTAGAGTGAGGTTAAACTATCTTGCACCGGTACACAAACAAGCCAATACTGAGCATTTGCACAGTCGATACATTCCGTTAAATCAGAAGAGACAGTTCAAGAAGCACTGCATAGCGAACTCTCGCTGTCTTGTCCTAATGATACTGAACTTCAGTGGAATAGGATCTCGGCCACTATGCACGACGCAGGGGTATCTGTTTGTGGCACCATCAATCGTCACCGCACCAGTCACTGGATATCCGAGAGGTCCGTGAACCTTTTGAAAGCTAGAGGGCACCTCCCGGCTGGTTCTGAACACAATGTGACCAGATGGGCTATTAGGCGTGAACTAAAGCGGAGCCTACGTGCTGACAAGGAAGCCTGGTGGACCAGTCGGGCTCAAGAAATGGAGGAGGCAGGAGCAGTAGGCAATTACCGGAAGCTCTTCCAGCTAATACGCACCACTGGTCCGAGAAAACCAGGCGTCAGTGAGACAACCAGGGACAGCGCGGGTGCCCTGATACACAATAAGGAGCGCCGTATGGCTCGTTGGGCTGAGCACTTTGAACATCAGTTCAGCTGGCCCCCTGCTCCCGGACCTCCTCCTACTCAGGTGATGCAGGACGTGCCATGGACGGTTAGTTTAGAGCCTCCGTCGGAGGCCGAGGTCCGAAACGCGATTACAGCCCTCAATCGTTTTCGTGCCGCTGGCCCGGATTTCCTCCCACCTGCACTATTTAAGGATGGAGGTGAGGTCCTCTGCAAAGCATTGACCTCCCTATTCGAACGTATCTGGAACGAAGAAAGTGTGCCGGCTAATTAAAGCGAATCGATTATAGTGGCAATATACAAAATGGGCAGTCGCACAAACTGTGCGAACCACAGCGGTATTAGCCTGACGCCAGTTGTGACAAAATTACTGGCCGCGATTATCGTTCATTTCCTCACTGCAGAACGGGAATCTCGGGTTAGGGAAGAGCAGGCCGCTTTTCGCCCAGGACGTGGCTGTATAGACCATATACTTACTTTGCGGCAGGTGCTAGAGCAGCGCCACGCATACCGCAGACCGACAATAGCTGTGTTCCTCGATTTCAAGAGTGCGTTCGATTCAGTCGATCGATCGATTCTGTTCGAAATACTTGCGCGGAAAGGTGTTCCCACGAAATATGTGAACATCCTTCGTGCTCTATACTCGAACACTAGAGGCCGCGTCAGGGTCTATGGTGCCCTATCGGATAGCTTTTCGACTACAAGTGGCGTTCGACAGGGTTGCCCGATTTCCCCGTTTTTGTTCAATTTCGTTGTGGATTCTATCATGGAGTGTTCCCTTGCGGAATCTCACCATGTAGGTGTTGAAGTGCTGCCTGGTGAACGGTTAGTTGATCTAGATTATGCGGACGATATCGTCTTGCTTTTCGATAATGTTGAAGCGGCACAATCAACTCTGAATAGCCTATCCAGAGTGGTCCCATTATTTGGTATTCACTTCGCACCTTCAAAGTGCAAAGTGTTGCTGCAGGACCACCAGCCACTCGATGACCCCTTGACGCTTGCTAACGAGGAACTCGAGGTGGTTGATCAA